AACCTGCTCTACCATCTGTGCCTTTAACATAAACCAGGTTCCAATAAAATGTCGCTTTGCACCAGTTTATGTTGTGAGTTATTAAGATAAAGGTTGCTGCTGCTGACGGTTGAGAAAATGCAGGAAAAAATGAAAATATGACTCATTAAAATAAGGCCCAAAAAGCCCAACCTTTAAATCAGTCTTTAAATTCATCAAGAAATAAAAATTGATGTTTAATAATTCAATTATTTGATAAACTGTGGTGATTTATCTCTGCACATTTTTTACAATAAAAACAATAGCAATTTTTTTACTTGAAGGCTGTGATTTTTGTTGATAATTTTCTTTAAGTTCTTTCTTTTTTATCTTTCTTAACCGATTTTTCCTTTATCAGTATATTTCCACCTTTTTCTTTTTTTCCTGGCCGGAAGGACAGAAGCTGAGGAGGCGGGTCTCTGGAACAGCTTCTCTCCTATTGGCTGAAACAACAAGAAGATAAATATCACTTCTAATGGCCACACATTTGTAATTTAAAATACATTTCTTTGTGTTTTCCTAATTGTGTCAGAAATGGTCCTCCATAAACTTTGTGCATCGCTGCAGCAGCACGTTTAAATCAGGCAGAGAAGAAGGAGCTGATTACATCACAAGACAGTCTGGGTTCCTCCTACTGATCTCCATTTATTCACTGGTTAGACCAGTCTCAATGTAAACGATCAGTGTCCTGCAGCATCAAACAACCATGATGTTCTGATTTTCAGGGAGAATTAAGACTTTTAAAATAAAGATAAATTCCTCACTTTGACACAGACTGGCTGTTTTATAGCATCAGCAGATTAACTTTAACTTAGAATAAAACAATAAGCCCATCACATTGCAGAGTCATTATGAAGTATATAAATCATATAATATAACATATTATAAAAATCTATCACAATAACATGAATGTGTTAATGGAGCAGAATAATACAGATGAGCCAAAAGTGATGAATTGATAAATATATAAGTGTATTTATTACATTGTTATAGCAATTACATTTTACAAATAATTTTAAGATTTTACATAAAGACTGATTTACCAGTAAATGTCTGTTAATGTTTTAGTATTTTCCTATTTGCAGATTATGAATGAATGATGCTGTATGCTTAAAGCTGTGTCTGTGAATTAGCCTTTAAAAATGTTTGAGTTGTTTTTTTCCATCAATATAACCTGTAATATATTTCAGCACTTTTTTAAATGAGAAATTCAACAAACTCTACATAAACTACAGCATCATCCACTAAATAAAGAATTCCTACATTAACATTTCCCAGTGAATGACTTTCTATTTCCTCTTGTTTTCTAACGTTAGACCCAATGTCAGTGTCTAACTCAGTCCATGTCTTCCAGTCAGTCTGAGATAGCCAGACTAATGTTAGTCTGCAGACTAAACTATAGGATCCATCGGCTATAGATGGATTTATTGCTTAGTTCATCCACTGACTGGGAAATGACCTGAGGAACGTCTTCCTGCAGACAGAAAACTGCTGGTTTTAGCAGCCAAATGCTGCACAGGGAGGCATTTACTGAGTGTCTCTGTGGGAGTGGGGAGTACCAAGATGGAGGACAGTGGCTTCACTTTTTTCGGGCAATTCAGTGAATAAATAGAGATCAGTGGTTCTTCCTGCATGGCTGCTGCTATTTACAAACAAATGGAGCCATAAACAAAATGGTTCCATTTATATAAGAATAATAATAAACTTATTAGGGATCTTCTAAAGCAGCACTTTTATTCACCATCATCTATGTTCCAATGATCTAAGTCATAAAATCCCTGTAAAGATGGTCAAAAATCCAGAGAAGTAGAAATACTTCCTTATCTTACTGAAGTAGAATTTTGGTTATCTGGAGTCCTTTTTTTTCCGACTCTTTACTTTTACTCCTTACATTTAAAAAAAGATAACCTCATTACTCATTTTAATAACAATTTCTCATCTTTGGTACAAAAAACTCACAAACTGAGGTATGTGGATACAAGTTTTATATATCGACAATTCACACCACATGTCATCTCAAGGCACTTTACAGTTCAGATCATCCATCTATTTTCCATCACGCTTATCCCTGCTGGGGTGGCGATGCCTATCTAAAGCTGTCTACAGGTGAGAGGCGGGGTCCGCAATGGACAGGTAACCAGTCCATCGCATGGTAACACAGAGACAAACAGGACAAACAACCATTCACACACACACCCAAGGAGGATTTAGAGAAGCCAATGAACCTAACAGTCATGTTTTTGGAGGAAGCCAGAGTACCCGGAGAGAACCCATGCATGCTCAGGGAGAACATGCTAACTCTATGCAGAAAAAGCCCGAGCCGGGAATCGAACCCAGAACCTTCCCACTGCAAGGCAGCAGTGCTACCCACTGCGGCACTGAGCAGCGCAGTTCATCAGATCATTCAGTCATCCTTGTAGCGACAGTGGAGAGGAACAACTCCCTTTGAACAGGAAGAAACCTCCAGCAGAACCAGGCTCAGTGTGAGCGGCCATCTGCTGAGGATGACTGGGGTTCAAGGAGACAGANACAGCAAACTTTAAACACACGTTATTAGGCTTCTATGTGATACGGTTCTATGATTTCTACCAAAAAAAGATCAATCTGGTTCGTCTAGATCAGGGATCCTGTCCGACCAGGTAAAAGCTGTTCAGAACCACAAACTAGAACATGACTTTTTCCACAAATAACTGCCTTTTTAAACCTGGTAAAGGAAATGAGTCGCCATCGCAATAAATAATTTATGCATTTTAAGCTTTTGAAATAATATTAAAACATCATTTTCAATCTAATTAAAAGAAAAAATGGCTCTAAAAATATTTCTGGTTCTTTTAATCTCATTCTGTAAAGCTTTAATAATGATATTTATTATAATAGATTATTTAGATCTTCTGCTGTGGAGGGGCCACATGGGGCCCTGGAGCCGCAGCTTTCAGACCCCTGGTCCAGATGAACCTTTACTGCCTCATGGTGGGAAAATGTTTTATAAATGATCATGTGTGGAAAAAATAAGAAGCTGTTAGGAATAAAGATGGAAACAAAAAGAAAAATATCTTTACAGTAAAATATGTAAAAAGAAAAAAGGCTTTTTTTCATTTCATGTTTTTGACTTTTCCTTCATTTCTGTTATTAAGGAACTTTTAAGTTTGTTTGTTTTTGTGCTTAATGGGTTAAATTTATCACCCTCATATTAAAGAAGGTAGCAAAATACATCTCAGTAGTTCAGGATGCATGGTGGGGGCCACGCTGAGGGCCCCCAGTGAGGGGCCCCTGCTGGACATCTATAGCTTTGGTCTTCCTGCTGGTCTAAAGTGATTGATTGATATGGAACTCTTCTTCTTTGGTGTGACAGATGTAAACAGCTGCAGAGCTCCTCCCCCCCGACTGAATGAAATAAGCCAATTATTACGGTTTCCTTGGTTTCATGTCTGTTTTTTCAGTTTATGTTCTGCTTTTCATCGTAGATGGAAACTCTTCATTGATGATTGTTTGCTTTTCTGTGCAGCCTGCTTTACAGGAAACCTGCTCTACCATCTGTGCCTTTAACATAAACCAGGTTCCAATAAAATGTCGCTTTGCACCAGTTTATGTTGTGAGTTATTAAGATAAAGGTTGCTGCTGCTGACGGTTGAGAAAATGCAGGAAAAAATGAAAATATGACTCATTAAAATAAGGCCCAAAAAGCCCAACCTTTAAATCAGTCTTTAAATTCATCAAGAAATAAAAATTGATGTTTAATAATTCAATTATTTGATAAACTGTGGTGATTTATCTCTGCACATTTTTTACAATAAAAACAATAGCAATTTTTTTACTTGAAGGCTGTGATTTTTGTTGATAATTTTCTTTAAGTTCTTTCTTTTTTATCTTTCTTAACCGATTTTTCCTTTATCAGTATATTTCCACCTTTTTCTTTTTTTCCTGGCCGGAAGGACAGAAGCTGAGGAGGCGGGTCTCTGGAACAGCTTCTCTCCTATTGGCTGAAACAACAAGAAGATAAATATCACTTCTAATGGCCACACATTTGTAATTTAAAATACATTTCTTTGTGTTTTCCTAATTGTGTCAGAAATGGTCCTCCATAAACTTTGTGCATCGCTGCAGCAGCACGTTTAAATCAGGCAGAGAAGAAGAAGCTGATTACATCATAAGACAGTCTGGGTTCCTCCTACTGATCTCCATTTATTCACTGGATTGCTGATTGCCCGCTGGTAGCATGTGGTTAAAGTGAAGCCAACGGCCGCCATATTGGTACTCCCTAGTTAGACCAGTCACAATGTAAACAATCAGTGCGCTACAGCATCGAACAACCATGATGTTCTCATTTTCAGGGGGACTTAGACTTTTAAAATAAAGATAAATTCATTATTTTGACACAGACTGGCTGTTTCATCAATAGGCCAGCAGAGAAACATAGTCCCTCCAGGGTGTTCTGGGTCTCCCCCTGGGCCTCCTCCCGGTGGGACGTGCCTGGAACACCGGGAGGGAGACGCCCAGGAGGCATTCTAACCAGATGCCCGAGCCCCCTCAACTGGCTCCTCTCGATGTGGAGGAGCAGCAGCTCTACTCTGAGTCCTTCCCTGATGACTGCGCTCCTCCCCCTGTCTCTAAGGGAGAGCCCAGACACACTACAGAGGAAACTCATTTCAGCTGCTTGGATCCATTTTTGATCAATTACTTTGAGAAATAACTTTTTTTTCCACACATCAATGATGTTACAGTCTGTCTTAGATTAACGGGTTCCTGTCCTGTTTTATAACCTTTGCTTTAATGTTAGTGCGAGGGATGAATCACTCAGATTAATGGATTATTTAAATAAAATAATCTTCAACCAATTTAGTAATTGATAAATAATTAACTGGAGTATAAAGACTGTAAAACATGCCTTTAGCTGACAGAACGACCCACTTAGAGCAGGAATTATACCAAGATTGTAAAAAAAATATAAAAAATATTTTCCACCAGTTAAGCTGCTCAATCCAGAAGCCCTCAAGTGGAAAAGGTTTGATTTCGTAAACAATCTTCTTTAACCATCCTTTGGTTATCTGATTTTTAATCGATTAACCGAAAAAATAATCAACAGATTAATTGATTTGTAAAATAATCGTTAGTTGCAGCCCTAATTAGTGCAGCTAAGCTTTTTAAACCATAGGCTGTTAGTCATCTTGTGCTTCATCAAACACACTATTGCTCACTATAGTGCACCTATTGGTTCTCTATTATATTTCCCCATATTAACATTTTATATAACAAACCAGATTTTACTTTAAGTTGTTTTGAAACTTATAATTTTATCCTTCTACTTGAGAAAAAGTTGAGCTCTTCAAAGTTTTTTTTTTTAACTCCAGGTATCAGGGGCGGAGCTAGATGGAGGGCCACTCTTAGCCAATCATTGGCCCCCCTGTGGCCACCCCTACCATTTATGCCCTGTAATACAGCAATTTAAGAAACATTTAAATTTTTCATGTATTAACAGTTACTTAACAACAAAAACACTGTAGTTAATTATACACATCAGTATACTAACATTAAAGATGATAAGTACAGAATTCCTGCTCCTTTTTCAGAAATAGATTTTGTGTTTTATGGGGTAAAGAGAAAATTATGCGTCTCTGCAACTCATCTAGGAGTCTTCAGTGAAATCAGAGATAAATAACTATTTTAATAAAAACATATTAAAAAATTATTAGTACTTGTAAATATCAGTTTCATGCAGAATAATTCTTGATAAAAGTAAGTAAGTAATGATGATGGAGAAGATGTTCGCTCAACAACTCAAACCTGAAAGAATTTTATCCACTATACCTTTTATTTAGACAGCAGGGATGTTTAAATATAAGCGTCTATTTGTTCAGCAAAGGCTGTAGGAAACTATCGTTTGTCTTTATGTAGAAATATGGATGTTGTTCTCGTTCCTGTTGGAGCCGTGGAGATTGATCCTGAGGTTCTGGTGCCTTTCTGCTTTCAGCCCCCCTCAGTGTACCTGGTTATTGGCTGGTTATTAAAATGTTCTGGCTACGCCTCTGCCAGGTATCACACATGCAGACAGATATCAGCTTTCCTTTGACATGAGCAGGTGGATGCATCACTGACCTGCTGGAAGGAATGGGTCTGAACCATTAAAGCTGGATCAACACAGCAGCATCTTCTGGGAAAATGTAATGAATGTAAACTTCCTGCAGCATCTGAGGTTCATGGATCCCAGGTCAAAGTTCAGCAGCAGGCTGGGTCATGTGATGGATGCTCCTCAGCATCATCAGCCCAGCAGGTGGAGAACAGCCGAACCCTCCGCGGTGTGGTGTCAGCTTCATCACAGCCCAACCTCCTCCTCCTCCTCCACCTCCTCCACCTCCTCCTCCTTCCTGATTCCTTGGACCGACTACATCCCGCCAACCCGAGTGGAAGCGGTTCGGTTCGGTTCGGACGGGAGGCTGGACCCGCCGCTGGATGACAGCAGGTCCCTGCAGAGGTAGCCTTGGTCTCTAGTTCTCTAAGGTGTTATTTTGCAAGCAGACATTTAACGCCACATACTTGAGTGTTTTGCTAAGGCGGATCTGTTCGCACCAGTCTAGCTTCACAACTCAGTAAAATGAGGCTGTGACCAGAAAATAGATGCTAAATCTACTTTATTAAAACAAACTTTACATCAGAAAATATTTATTGAACTATAATCTATTATTCGTCGTGGGTATACTGCGGTGTTATCATTAGTTTATGAAGAAATTAAAACTTTTGGTCATTTCTTTCATAATTCTCCTCCAAGCGCCACGTTGTGTTTTGGTGCGTCGGGCTAATGGAGCTGAACTGCGAAGCAGCTAAAAATGTCTAATTTTCATGCTTCTGTTTGCAGTTATGTGATTAACAACAAAGCCGAATAATAAACAGAGTTATATTTTATTAGATAAAGACAACATCATCGTTTGAAATGTCAATTAACTGCTCTTAATAAGACAGAAAACCTCCAGTTGTATACATTCCCAAGCTAGATCCGGCCGAGCGGAGCCTGCTGTAAGCACGCGCTAGGCTAGCTGGCTAGCTGTCTAATTAGGTCAGAGCACATCAGGATCAGATGCTAAAAACATGGAGGCCGATCTTCCGCTTGTTTTCTGTTTTATTTCCAGCGGTCAGGATCATTTCTGATGAGTTTATTGGATGTGATGTTTCCCCCCCGGAATGAACCAATGAATGTGTTTCTGACAGTGGGTAGAAAAACAGCCGCTGCCTCGGTGTTTGGCCTCTGATGATGCAAAGCAAACCTCCTGATCCACGCATCGAGGAAGGCAGCAGTGAAGCATTCTGGGCTAAATGTTGTTTTCATCAGAGCTCCAGAGCAGGCCGCCAGCTGACAGCTAGCAGCTCCTCAGACATAAACAGAGGCTCCTGCACAGGCAGGCCGGTGCTCTGTCAGAGCAGCATACCCCATCAGACCAGCATACCCCATCAGACCATTATAACCCATCAGACCATTATACCCCATCAGACCATTATACCCC